ATCGACCAAAAATTATTGTTCTTCATTAAAAACGAAATTTAAATAACTTTACATTTCAAATTGGGAATAAATTAATTGAGAAAAAGGATCAAACTGTGACATTTCCCATTTCTTGATAGAAAATTTGTCTGAAAAAATATTTTTCTGATTCATCAAAGTATCAGAGCATTAAACTATCACCAGAGCTTGCTACGGTCACCTCAACTCTGAACAGTGCGTCACACCTCATCTACGATGCAGCTCTTCTTAACGAATCTTAATAACATTCAAACGAATAAAATTTAATATCACTTTACATATTTTCATAAGAAGGCACACACCAAGAAACAGGTAGCCGTTCATTAGAAACTTTATTCATAATTTTGAGCAGTGTAAGCCGATGAGAAAAATATGTATATTTTTTGTTTATTTTTTTATTTATTTTTGTGAAGCTGGTTTAAACTTAAGCTGGTTTGAACTAATAACCAGTTTCCCATAATAGAACTGTATGTCGTTTGTACTCATATATTGTATGTGTTGAATAAGTCACTTATAATGACTTGAAAGTGTGATGTCATAATGTCCAGGCATTTGGGAATTGCTGCAGGACAGATTCATGTTTTATGTACGCTCTGCAAAGTCTCAAGATCCAGCGTAACATTCCACAGCTCCCTGCTTCTTATTTATTGATTTCATTGCTGAATTAAATGCTTAATAATTATTAGATATAACAGACAACCTTAAATGATTGATTTATATGTCCACGATGACCGCGCTGCTGCTCGCCATCGCTCTCCACTTTGGACAGACAAATTTGCTTAGAATTCCGGCAAATACTGTCAGTAAGATTTTTTATTCAACCTTTCCAATATATAAGACAAAGTTATGTTACATGATCCATTAAACAAATTACAATAAAACACGAGCAAACAGTTCTAGATGCGTTTATCCTTTATTTGTTTTCTACTTGAATTAGAAAATTCATATCATATATAGAAAACTTTCACTAGAGGAATAACTATATCATTCAGATGAGAGGATCAATGCGTTGCATAGAAGATCAATAAAATTGATCCTCATTGCATCAATCCTACTGCATTATTTATAAATAAATGATTATTTATAGTCAAGTGAATGAAATTAGGTTATCAATTGATTAATATCTTATATTAGGACAAAATTTCAGAAAACTATAAGCTGAGATTTAGCAGGTGTCGAGATATTTACTTCAGTTAAGTCCTGATAATCCCATAAGAGATATCTTCTTGTTAAACACCGAACTTTAATGTGTGTAATTGAGATATTTGTACAATAATTATACCATTCAGCATCATAACGACTTTCTTTTAGCTGTTTTACACGTTTATTCATTGTAAGGAAATTTGGTTCAGATACCCATAAATATATATTGATGAATATTACAGTTCTGCTCTGCAAAAATTTAGTTTTTTCTTTTTTGTTACATCTTCTACAGTGTATAATGATATTTGACTTTTTCTGCGGATAAATTTACGAAAACGTAATATTAAATTAGGTTCCACTGATGGTTCCAATGAAAGTTCGAGATTTATATTTGATAAGTGAACATGGATTTACACGAATTCTTCCCCCTTCATGTTTATCATGTCAAAAAGAATGGCAAAATTTATTAATTTCTTTGATGCCTGAAGGGCTATATGGCGGGAGTTTTGAAACAGTCTTCGTTCCTTGATGTGTCAGGTAACGTGCCATACATAAATGGCAAATGATAATTGCTTAAATGTTAAATGATAATTGATTGAATGGTAAACGTCATCGGTTGAATGGTAAATGATAATATGTTGAAAGATAAATGATAATCGTTTGAATGATAACAAAGCAGGTAATGTCATCATATTTATTTACATATGGAACAGTACAAAGCAACTTAACCGAAAAATGATTGACCGAAAGCTGTCGCTAATTACCTTACACTGTAACTACCCTCGATAAGGTAATTATCTTTATACACTTTATGAACATGCAACGAACATGAGTTTCTAGAAGTGATCATGTTCAATGTTATTTATAGGCCGTTGAAATTATCCACAAATATGCCCTGCAAAAAAAAAGCCTAACATTTTTACGCTAAGCCTATTTTATTTTAGGCCTAAGCTTAACTTAAGAAAATACAAGTAACTTTTTTTATATATAATTCAAACTTGAGACAACCAATTACTGAAGCTGATAGGCCGGAATAATTGAACGCTACGTTAATAATTAAATAAAAAACATAAATACATAGGATCTTTTACGAAATACTTACTACCATCAATATATGATTTAGAGACCCACAACAAGTGTGATGATATTTGTTGATATTATCTGATGATAATTGTGATATTCTACAGCGCCGCATCTACTTAAACGTACCAGACGTGCGGTACAAACGTACCAGACGTGCGGTACAAACGTGCCAGACGTGCGGTACAAACGTACCAGACGTGCGGTACAAACGTACCAGACGTGCGGTACAAACGTACCAGACCTGCGGTACAAACGTACCAGACGTGCGGTACAAACGTACCAGACGTGCGGTCCAAACGTACCAGACACGCGGTACAAACGGACCAGACGTGCGGCACAAACGTGCCAGACGTGCACTGAAGTATACAAGACACACAAATATACAGGTCATTATACAGACGCTGACCACACAGACAATACAACTCAATGGAAGTCTTCAAACAGACCAAGTTTGTGCCATACAAAATATACAAAAGGGGATTTCTGTGTTGAAAACGGGAGTCTGTTGATAAAACGGGAGTCTGTTGATAAAACGGGAGTCTGTTGATAAAACGGGAGTCTGTTGATAAAACGGGAGTCTGTTGATAAAACGGGCGTCTGTTGATAAGTCTGTTGATAAAACGGGAGTCTGTTGATAAAACGGGAGTCTGTTGACAACGTCATGTCAACATCTATTCAACTATTCAACACAATCCGTTATATTTACTCAACCCACACAGCGCCTGTGTGCTCAGTCGGCTACGATATGTACGAATATATACAGCGAAAATACAGCACCACACAACCGCTGTGTGAACACAAACACAAGCTGTGCCAACACAGAGGAGGATCCTATTAATACAAGACTATTAATACAAGACTATTAATACAAGACTATTAATACAAGACTATTAATACAGACTATTAATACAAGACTATTAATACAATACTATTAATACAGACTATTAATACAAGACTATTCATACAATACCAGCGCGTTGTACATCTTTTAATACACAATAACAATGTGTACTGCAACTCACACAGCACCATACAAGAGGTGGGTCAACGTAATGCAATAAGTGGGTCAGGGTAATGCAATAAGTGGGTCAAGGTAATGCATATATACATACAGATACAGCATTTGTATAACCTACACAACTATACAGCCATACAAAACTCAGCCTGGCGCTGTGTTGAACTTGTGTAACTTCAACACAGAATTTTTTCAAATTAAGTAAGGAAAAAAGTTAACACAAGTTTTTTAATAATATACATAATAATATACATACTTCTGTGTTTTGTATAGGAGAACAACGAATGAATTCCTTCCTGAATGCCACGAACCGTATACAATACAAGGTAACACAGGGAACATACAAGGTAATACAGGGGCCATACAAGGTAATACAAGGTAATACAGGGGCCATACAAGGTAACACACGGACAATACAAGGTAACATAGGGACCATACAAAGTAACGCAGGGACCACACAAGGTAACACAGGGACAATACAATGTAACACAGGACAATACAAGGTAACACAGGGACAATACAAGGTAACACAGGGACAATACAAGGTAATTCAGGGACAATACAAGGTAATACAGGGACCATACAAAGTAACACAAGGACAATACAAGGTAACACAGGGACAATACAAGGTAATACAGGGACAATACAAGGTAACACATGGACAATACAAGATTAACACAGGACAATACAATATACAAGGTAATGAAGTCTTGACAATAATCACCTCGGGTGCAGGGCTGAACGCTTCACTCGCCTAATAACCTTCACAATTAATCACTTAATTAACAAGCTAATCAAATAAATATATATAAAATGCATGTATAACTAAAGTAATTAACATTTAACACGCGACATAAAACAGCGCAGCTTCCGTCACGTTATAATTAAACGAACCTCGAATAGCGGGACACTTGATGTCGGGAACCCTACTTGTGAACCCTACTTTTGAACCCTGAAAACCGAGATGTGAACCCTCCATCTGAACGCTTTATAACCCTATAAATAAACCCTCTATCTGAACGCTCTATATCCCTACAAATGAACCCTCTGAACCACTTTATAACCCTAAAGTGAACCCTCTATAGGTATCCCTATGAGTAAACCCTGAGCCTGTTTCAGCCGAACCTCCCTCTAACCCTCTGTCTGAACCCTCTACCCTAACAAAATTCGGGGACCGCCTAGGGTTCGGCCGATTAGTTGTTACACTCGGCGCAGAGTCATTCGGGATTTGCTTGGGCCATCCGGTCGAAATCAGTTTATGGTTAGAATCTCTTATATGACTTTATAGTCGCCTGAGAGTGTGGCAAGAGTTGGCCGAGCCGAGTCATGCCGAGCTAGCCAGCTGCCCAGAGGTTGCCCTTCGAACCCTGAGACGCAGCGGACAAAGAGAAGCTGATTTACGTGCTCCCCGAGTCCTAGGCGGCCCTGATGTAGAGTCGCGCACGGCGATAAATTTTGTTAGGGATGAGCCGCATCGTATATTTGCGGCTGATTTACGTGCTCCCTGAGTCTTAGGCGGCCCTGATGTAGAGTCGCGCACGGCGATAAATTTTGTTAGGGATGAGCCGCATCGTATATTAGCGGCTGATTTACGTGCTCCCCGAGTCCTAGGCGATTCCTAATTCAGGGTCGTCACCAACTCAAAATTTTGATATGGTTTAGCCTTATAAGTGAACACTGAGCCTGGTTCTGAGCCTGTTTCAGCCGAACCTCTCTATATAACCTATATAAGTGAACCCTCTATAACCCTAAAAGTAAACCCTGAGCCTGGTTCTGAGCCTGTTTCAGCCGAACCTCTCCCTGACGAGGGACATGAGCTTCTTCTTGCCCTTGTACGCAACTTTCATGTTCTCGACGAGCTGCGCGAACTGCAGGTGCCCGTCAGGAGCGAGCAGGAACGTCTCGTGCGCCTTCGTCAGGAAGTCGATGAAGTCCTGGTAATGGCGGGGGGAGATGTGGGTGAGTCGGGAGTTTGTGGTGTTGATGTAGGACAAGATGGTGGCGTCTAACAGCCCCCGAAGTGGCGGTTTATCAAGGGATAAAGATTTCCGACGTTTGTTATCCACGTGGATTACGGCGGGTGGCGGTGGCGGTGGTGGTGGTACCACTTGCATGACGTTCAAAGGGGTTGCTGGTGTTGAGGTCGAAGAAGAAGAAGAAGGGGTGGTAGCGTTTGTGGCGTTGGTCCCAGGAGGCGTTAGACTGCAACGTCTGAGTACGTCGCTAAGGACCGTCGCACATTGGACGTTCTTTACGAAGACTGGGAGGAGCTGGGACAGCTGGGACCGTCCCAGCGAGTGAGCTAGGGACACGGCCCAGTGGATGTCGGGGATGGCAGGATGCGTGTCCTGCGTGTAGGAGATGTGGACGCTCTGCATCGCCAGCAGCGCCAGGGTGTAGGCCCGGTGGGGGTGATGGCGGTGCTCCATGTACCTGCAGGAGGCATGGGGGTTAGAGGGTCCAACATGGCGGTATGGGGGTTAGAGGGTCCAACATGGCGGCATGGGGGTTAGAGGGTCCAATATGGCGGCATGGGGGTTAGAGGGTCCAACATGGCGGCATGGGGGTTAGAGGGTCCAACATGGCGGCATGGGGGTTAGAGGGCATGTCCAACATGGCGGCATGGGGTTAGAGGACATGTCCAATATGGCGACATTAGTGCAGGTTGCCCACCTGGCTATAGAAAAGAGCTGGCTGCTGGTCATGGCGGTGGCGGCGGCCTCCACAACCACCTGGTACGCCGCCTCGAAGGTGGCGGGGTCGCCCTCGCAGAGGGTGAGGGCGCTGAGGGCGCAGCTCGGGGGGTCCTTGGCGGCGCACTGTAGGGCGAGGGTGCGGGCCACGCCTGGGGGGTAGGGGGGTTAGGTGGGGGATAATCAAGGACTCTTATTAATTATTAATATCATATTAACACAACCCGACAAGTATTCACCATTAATAACCCCCGCCACCCACCGGCGAGCTCGTCCTGCTGCTGTCTGTCCAGCGCCAGCCTCATGACGGTGGCGTGCGCCATGACGGGGGTCGCCAGCCCCCCCACCGCCTCGGGGGGCGTCATGAGGGAGTACCAGCCCCCCATTATGGACATGAGGGCCCCCACCCCCACCTCCGTCGCGCACGTCACCAGCCACCGCACCATGTCACGTCGCCGCCACGTCACGCACGTCAGCGTTATGCGTAACACCTGTGGGGTTAGGGGGGTGTTATTGGGGGTTAGGGGGGTGTTATGTCACCAGCCACCGCACCATGTCACGTCGCCGCCACGTCACGCAAGTCAGCGTTATACGTAACACCTGTGGGGGTAGGGGGGTGTTATGGAGGGTTATGTAGGTGTTATGGGGGTTAGGGGACTTTATGGGGGTGTTATAGGTGTCCAAGAGTAGGTTGTGGAAACAAGTCCTCATGTGTTCACCGGCAGACCTAGTTAGCTATTGGGTCCACGGTGTCACTGAGACATCTTCCAGCACATGTGTCACGCGGACAAGAACTTGTGGGCGGAAGCGAAGGCTATATAAGGGCTAGCAACCTTAAGTAAGGCCCTTACTATCTTAGTTGTGGGCGGAAGCAAAGGCTATATAAGGGCTGGCTAACTTAAGGCCCTTACTACCTTAGTTGTGGGCGGAAGCGAAGGCTATATAAGGGCTAGCAACCTTAAGTAAGGCTCCCCACCCCCGTCCTTGTGTCACGAGAACGAGAACCCAATGGGCGGAAGCGAAGGCTATACAAGGGCTAGCCTTAAGTAAGGCCCCCCACCCCCGCCGTGGTGCTGCAGCCCCCGTTCCCCACGTCACCCCCGTCCCCCACGTCACCTGCAGCCCCAGCTCCAGCGCCGCGTTCAGGAGGAGGGCGTTGCGCGTGGGCGCGTGGGGCGCGGCGATGCTGAAGGCGTCCTGCGCGAGCTTGAAGAGCTGCGTCGCGCCGTGCACCGAGCGCAGGCACGCGTCCAGCGCCACGCGCAGGCGCACCACGTCGTCTGCGGGGGTAGGAGGGGGGTTAAGGAGGGTGCACCGAGCGCAGGCACGCGTCCAGCGCCACGCGCAGGCGCACCACGTCGTCTGCGGGGGGAGGAGGGGGGTTAGAGGGGCTCTTCTGAACAGGGTCAGGTGAGAGAAATGTGTTTGAAAGAAGAAGCGCTCGTGAGGGAGAGGTATTTGGGGCGGTATTGGGGAGAGAAGTGTTCGGGGGAGGGTATTGGGGTAGGGGAGGGGGTTCAGGGGGAAAATGTTAGGGAGGTGGGGAAGGCATTAAAGGTTAAGTGGGGAACAACAAACGTGGGTGCGTTAGGCACCGCCAAGCAGCGTCAGTTACTCACTGGCGGCGGCGGCGATGAGGGCGCACGCCAGGTCGCCCTGCTGCGTCTCCAGCTGCGGCAGCGTCAGCCACCGCCCGCCCCCCGCGCCCCCCTGCCACGCCCCTCCCCCAGGCCCCGCCCCCTGCGGGTTGCCGCCGCCGCCGCCGTTGTCGGGTCTGTCCCCGCCAGCCGCCGCCAGGAGGTCGGCCTGGTCCTGATCTTCCAGGATCGGCATCCTGCAAACATAGACTAGTTACACCACTAGTTACACTACTAGTTACGTCATTAGTTACACACCTAGTACATATAGACTGGTACGTATAGACTGGTGCATATAGACTGGTGCATATAAACTGGTACGTATAGACTGGTGCATATAAACTGGTACGTATAGACTGGTACGTATAGACTGGTACGTATAGACTGGTGCATATAGACTGGTGCATATAGACTGGTGCATATAGACTGGTACATATAGACTGGTACGTATAGACTGGTACATATAAACTGGTGCATATAGACTGGTGCATATAGACTGGTGCGTTTAGACTGGTACATATAAACTGGTGCGTATAGACTGGTGCATATAGACTGGTGCGTATAGACTGGTACATATAAACTGGTGCATATAGACTGGTACATATAAACTGGTGCGTATAGACTGGTACATATAGACTGGTGCTATAAGAGACAGAGTCTATACGCACCAGTCTATATGTACCAGTCTATACGTACCAGTTTATATGCACCAGTCTATACCTGTCTCTTATACACATCTAGATGTGTATAAGAGACAGCATATAAACTGGTGCGTATAGACTGGTACATATAGACTGGTACGTATAGACTGGTGCGTATAGACTGGTGCATATAGACTGGTACGTATAGACTGGTGCATATAGACTCTGTCTCTTATACACATCTAGATGTGTATAAGAGACAGGTATAGACTGGTGCATATAGACTGGTGCGTATAGACTGGTGCATATAGACTGGTGCATATAGACTGGTACATATAGACTGGTATGTATAGACTGGTGCATATAGACTGGTGCGTATAGACTGGTGCATATAGACTGGTGCGTTTAGACTGCTTTGCTAAAGCTTCTGACAAAGTTGACCATGGGGTGCTCTTTAGAAAGCTGAGGCTGTTGGAGGTAGCAGGAAGCCTATTAAGGTGGATCCACAACTTCCTCCGACAAGCTGTCGCAATTGGAAACTCAAAATCGAGAGAAGCGAAGGTGAAAAGCGGATTCCCGCAGGGCTCAGTGCTTGGACCGATCCTCTTCCTCATCTACATTGCCGACATTGACTCAGAACTCACCCACGCATCTACATCGTCATTTGCGGACGATACAAGAGTGCTGATGAAGATCACAGATGACCTAGACTGCGAGAGATTACAGGATGATCTATCGTCAATCTACGACTGGGCCCTAGTGAAGAATATGCAGTTCAACGGCACCAAGTTCGAAGTAATGAGATACAGAGACCGATCTGAGATCGGGATGCCACATCGCTACTTGGCATCAGATGGCACAGAAATTGCGACTGTGTAGGATGCCCCCATTTAATAACCGAGCCGCGGCCAGAGTACAGACTCTTCGTGAGGGATCACTGTCCGTGGTAGGACCGAGGCTCTTTAATGCCTTGCCAAAAGCGCTGAGAGGAGGGGAGTTTACCCTTGCAACATTCAAGAGACGACTGGGCAAATAGTTGAGCAAGATCCCGGACTGTCCAGTAATGGGAAACTACCATCAGCAAGTGACAAGCAACAGCATCTTGCATCAGCTGACCCAAAGGAGGGCAAATAGACAGAACACGTCCAACGTTACATCCGAGACCCGAGGGCGGGGTGACCTGCCTAGTGACGACTCGGAGTCGGAGGACGACGAAGGCGGCGCATCAGCGCGACCGTGGACTATGAAGTCCTAAACTCATCATAAGGTCATAAGGACTGGTACGTATAGATTGGTGCGTACAGAGTGGTACGTGATGGTACGTGCCTGAGGGCCCTGAGGGCGAGGTGGTACGCGAGGTCCGTGTGGTGCGGCAGGAGGTGCTGGAAGAGGTACTTGGCCAGCGGGTGCAGGGGTACGCATTCGGGGTGAACCCCCTCCCCCAACCCCGAGAACGGACCCCCCTCCAGCTGCAGGGTCGCCTGCGCAGGGGTTAAAAGTTAGCCCTATTGTCAAGAGGTAAAAAGTTAACCTGATTATTAGGTTGTAAATTCAACCTTATTGTCAGGGGGTTAAAAGTTAACCCTATTGTGTGGGATCACAAGATAAACCTATTGTCAAGGGTAAATTTAACCCTATAGTCAGGGCTTTAGAGTTAACTTTATTATTAAAAGTTCAACATAATCTTGACGACCTGCAGCACTGACCTGCCTCTTGACCTGCAGCACTGACCTGCCTCTTGACCTGCAGCACTGACCTGCCTCTTGACCTGCAGCACTGACCTGCCTCTTGACGACCTGCAGCACTGACCTGCCTCTTGAACTGCAGCACTGACCTGCCTCTTGACCTGCAGCACTGACCTGCCTCTTGACGACCTGCAGCAGCTGCGGGTCCATGGTGAGGTCCTGGAGGCGCAGCAAGAGGCGCTCGGCCTGCTTGAGGCACTTCTCCTGGGCGTAGAGGCCAAGAGGCATGAGGCGGTGCTGGCCTAGGCCTACGAGGCCCGCCTCCAGCGCGAGGCTCAGGTAGGACTCGGCCGAGTCCGCCGCGTCGGGCACGCGCACGTGGCGGTAGCGCAGGCCCCTGCGTGGGCCCGGGGCCTCGGACCCCTGCCAGTCTGCGCGGGGGTTATATAATTGAGTAATTTAACATATTAAGTAATAATATAGTTAAAATAATGGTTATATAATTAAGTAATTCAATATAAGCAGACTGGCAGAGCAGCACTATGAGAATAAATTAAGTAATTCAAGTTCTAAATTAAAGTAATTCGGCGCCGCGGCCTCTGCGCTGCCGCTGCCCAGCCAGTCTGCGCGGTGTCGGGGGGTTATATTAACAAATAATTACATGTACTTTAAATTGTTAAGTATTAAATTAAGTAATTTAATTATTAAATTAATCAATTAATCATTTGTGATGAGGCATTAGATTTCTAAGTTAATTAATTGATCGTTTGTCTGCGGGCGTCAGAGGGTTAGATTACTGGACTATTACTTGTACTTTATATAATAATTAATATAATTAAATAATGTAATTTCTATATTATTCAATTAATCATTAGTGATCGGGCATTAAATTTCTATATTAAATTAAAGTAATTAATTGTGTTGACGCTGCCCTGCCAGTCTGCGCGGCGTCAGGGGGTTAGATTACCGGCCAAATACTTGCACTTTATATTGATATTTATATAATTAAGTAAATTAATTCTAAAATTAAAGTAATTAATGGTGGTACCACTCACCAGCCAGCTGGTGGTAGCGGGGCAGGTCCTCGGGCACCAGCGACGCCTCCGCCAGGCAGTCGAAGACGCACGTGATGGGGTCCAGGGGGTGCCCCACGCACCCCCCTCCCTCCCCTCCCCCCTGCCACCTGTACCACAGCGTACCTGAACACCTAAGGGACAAGTGTTAAGGGTAAGACATGCCATTAGATGCCATATGGCATTATATTCCATAGAGGCTATGGCATCATATGCCAGATGGCATTATATTCCATAGGGCATTAAATATATAACTTTATGTCGTAAAATTGGCATTATGTGCCTAGGGTTATGCCATATGGTGTTGTATTCCATAGGGGCTAAGGCATTATATGCCATATGGCATTATATTCCATAGGCCATAAAATGCCATAGGCATAAGACATTATATGCCAGAGGCCAGAGGGCATCATATATAATGTCATGTCTTAACCATGGCATTATATGCAATAAGACACTTCGATTTTCTTCAATATATCAAAGATTATTAACAAATTCTCGTCTTCAATATATCAAAGATTATCAACAAATTATTGTTCTCAACAAATTAAAGATTTCTAAACCTTTCATTTTAATCCTAAACGAGAGCACAGCTTCATTACAATTTAGAAATCGTATTTTTACTTTTATCATAGTTATTGTTGAACAGCCGTTTTCTACGAGGAGATTCATAGAAAACGTTGCCCCAGCTCTATACAGCGATAACTACTTTAATATGACAGATATGGAATATTGGATAAAAGGTACCTGGGCAGGTACTGGTCCCTGTTGTCCCGCCACCAGCGGTGGGCCTGGGCCTGCGTGTGAAGCAGGGCCCGGGCCACAGCCACCGCCAGGCGCAGCGCCGCGTCCCAGAAGCCGTGGGCCCGCAGGGCCTCCACGCGGGCCCCACCCAGCGCCAGACCCTCTGTTGGCAGAGAGCAACGGATTAGTTATTATTCAACAGGTTAATAATCTATACTTAATTTTGCCAGGAATATTCAACAGGTTACACTGCCGACGCACCAGCACCATCAGCACCACCACAACCACCATCACCCACCATCACCCACCTGTCCACAGCGGCTGCTGCTGCTCGTTGAATAATTCCTCCCGTAGGGGGAAGGTGGGGAGCGCGGGGGGCATCTCGCCCCCACTGGGGGCCGCGTCCCCCACACCCCCGCTGGGATGGGAGGAGGTCTTCTTCCCCTTGCCCTTGTGGGAGGACTTGGGGGGTCTGGGGCTGGACTTGGGGGACCTGCACGGGGGAGGCGAGTCCCCCGGGGGGAGGGATGAGGGGGAAAGGCGGTCCCCTCCGAACCCCCCCGAGTTGGGGAGGTCTGGGCCCCAGTGGGAACATCTGGGCCCATTGTTTATACTGGGCCCCTCTGTAGAATACGGGTGACTGCACAGCTCGAGCCCACAACTGGGCCCAGTACAAGAGCTGGGCCCTGGGCCCCTAGGGTCTCTAGACGAGGGCCCAGTACAAGAGGTACAGGAGCTGGGCCCAGGGCCCCTAGGGTCTCTAGATGAGGGCCCAGTGAAGGGCTGAGACCGGGCCACAGGAGGGGCCTGAGGCCCGCTGGTCCCGTTGAGGATGGCCCTGAGGTGGGGACTGTCCCAGGTGAGCTGGGACGCGTCGATGGCCCACTGGAAGATGGAGCGCGGGGCCCCAGCGCTGACCCGCCGCCTCTTGTGCCTCCTGCTGGGGGAGCTGCGGGTGAGACGTGACCCCCAACCCCTCAACCCCAACCCCCAACCCTCAAACCAACCCCCTTAATCCCCGACCCTCAACCCCCAACCCTCAACCCTCGACCCCAACCCTCAATTCTCGACCCCCCGTCAAGGGCTCCCCCTTGACGGGGGAAATTTGCCCCGTGGAAATAACTGCGGCAAAATTGGTTCCCAGTGAAAATATTCTAGGGGAACCTATTTTCTAGAAGTTATTTCTAGGGGAACCTATTTTATTTCACGCATTTCTACTGGAAACCTTTTTTTCTAGAACTAATTCTACGGTTCTCCGTGGAAATGGGTTCTCCTAGGTTCCGTTGGGAATAACTGACAGAAATAAGGTTCCCTCTAGAATATTTTCAATGGGAACCGGATTTGTAACAGTTATAACCAGGTGAACCTAGGGGAACCATATTTTTTGAGAATGAGTTGCTGGAAAAAAAGGCTCCCAGTAGAAATACGTGCAATAAAATATGGTTCCCCTAGGTTCCCCTGGAAATAACTGTTAGAACTAAAGTTCCCCTAAAGTATTTTGACTGGCAGCCTATTTTATAACAGCCGTTCAAGGGGGAACCTAGAGAAACTTATTTTCCAGCACTTATTATTAAATAATAATTGCTGGCGCTAGTTATTTAAATAATAAGTGCCAGTTATTTAATATATTAAATTATATTATTATCCAGTTATTAAATAATAAGTTATTTAATACGTACTTTTTATTAAATAATTGCTTATTAGCAATTATTTCCATGGTTCCCCGAGCAAATAATTGCTATAAAAAAAGTTTCCACTAGAAATAATTGATACAAAATTAAATAGTCTCCCCACCTAAACCCCTACCCCCTCAACCCCCCAAGGCTTCCCCACCCTCTCATTCCCCCACCTGGAGCGGCGGTCGCGGCGGTCCCCCCTGCGTGGGGGGCGGGGTGCGTCGTCCCCGCTGGAGTCGTCGTCCGACGAACCCCCGCCGCTGGCCCGCGCCTGCGGGGGTTAAAAGGGGGGTTAGGTTAGGGTGAAAAGGGGATGAAAAGGAGGGGTTAAAAGAAGGGGTTAAAAGGAGGGGTTAAAAGGAGGGGTAAGAAGAGGGTGAAAAGAGGGTGTGAAAAAATTGGGGGTGAAAAGGAGTCTAGAAGATCAATAATTTTAAATCAATATGAACAGATATTAATTAATGAGATACTAATAAATAATGGGATAATAATTGGTGTCACATTTATTAAAGTGATATTAATAAATGCGATATTAATTAATGAGATATCAATTAGTGAGATAAGATATATTTATTGTCATATTAGTTAATGTCATATTAAAATACAATAATTTATTAATAAACACTAATAATAATCTAATTTTAATAATAATTAATTAACAAACAAAAGACAAGGCCCACTCTGAGTGGGCCACTCACCCGGGCCGGGCCCCCGCCGTCGGGGTCCTCAGGTGGGCACAGCGCCGTGCTGGCCCACTGGGTGAGCTTGGCCCGCCACGCCCCCCGCTGCGCCCCGCTGCTGTGGGGCCCCAGGCACACGCTCACCCACAGGCCCGCTGGTGGGGACAGTGGGGTACATTAGTGGGTCAACCTGACACATGTAACGTGGCCCAGTGGGGTACATTAGTGGGTTAACCTGGCCCATGTAACATGGCCCAGTGGCCCAACAGCCTCTCCTTCATGGCCCAGTGGGCCCGCCCTGACCCACCTATTGGCCCACCCTGACCCACCTATTGGCCCGCCCTGACCCACCTATTGGGCCCGCCCTGACCCACCTATTGGCCCCGCCCTGACCCACCTATTGGGCCCGCCCTGACCCACCTATGCAGATAGCCCCACTCCAGGGCAGATAGCCCCACTCCAGGGCAGATAGCCCCACTCCAGGGCAGATAGCCCCACTCCAGGGCAGATAGCCCCACTCCAGGGCCTGTCTCTTATACACATCTAGATGTGTATAAGAGACAGAGGGGGACGGGGGTCACGGGGATGGGGGTCACGGGGACGGAGGTCACGGGGACGTGGTCTGCAATCTCATGTCGCGTGAATTTCGAGAAATTATTCAGTAATTTCATTAATACACAAAGCTGAAAACCGTTCCTATTGTTATTAGATTACCGCAGCAGCTATTCTATTCTCAAAATTCTATTTATAATATGCACAATATCCAAAATATGGAAATACATAGAAAATATAATGCAGATCAAGTTACCAATTTTTCAAATGTCTTAATGCACTCCGTAATGCGCTTTCATTCGTAACGTTTATTCCTATATCGATTATTATCATAACGATGTATCGTAACGATTATTCCTCGTATAGGTATTTATCGATTCGTATAGGTATTTATTAAAATGAATAATTTATTTTAATTTAAATGTGTCCGGCCAAGCCGAGGAGACGTCTCCAGTGAACCTCGCCCAGAGCGCATCGTCAAGAGCTGAGACTCAATAAACAATCTTAGACTATTCACGTGGAGGGCGCGGGTGGGGGCGGTGTAGGGGGCGGTGAGGGGCGGCACCCACCTTGGAGAAGAGCCCGTGGAGGGCGCGGGTGGGGGCGGTGTGGGGGGCNTTATACACATCTAGATGTGTATAAGAGACAGGTGTGGGGGGCGGTGAGGGGCGGCACCCACCTTGGAGAAGAGCCCGTGGAGGGCGCGGGTGGGGGCGGTGTAGGGGGCGGTGAGGGGGGCGGTGAGGTGCTGCTGCACCGTCAGCTTCACCTGCTCGCCGTCCAGGTGCCACGTCAGCTCCTCGTCAGCGCCGCTGCCCGCGGTGGGGTCGGGGGCTCCTGCGGGCAAGGGTTCGGCATAATAATTGTTACACTCGGCGCAGAGTCATTCTGGGTCTGCTTAGCCATCGAAATCAGCTTCTGGTCAGAATCTCCCATCCGACTTTATAGTCGCCTGAGAGTATGAGAAGAGTTGGCCGAGCCGAGTCATACCGAGCTAGCAAGCTGCCCAGAGGCCGCCCTTCGAACCCTGAGCCGAAGCTGACATAGAGAAGCTGATTTACGTGCTACCCGAGTCCTAGGCGGCCCTGATGCAGGGGCGCGCACGCCGATAAATTTTGTTATGGATGAGCCGCATCATATATTAGCGGCTGATTTACGTGCTCCCCGAGTCCTAGGCGGTTCCTAATTCAGGGTCGCCACCAACTCAAAATTTTGATATGGTAGGCCAGCTCTGAGGCAACTAAGGGACGACTCTGGAGCAAAAAGCAGTGGCCCTGGGGTGCTCTATTAAAACAGAGGGCCTTTTTCTCTCAGTGTACTGTACCCTGTATGCAGTTAATGGGATGTGATGGCTGCAGTATACAGTTACTGTACCCTGTATGCAGTTAATGGGATGTGATGGCTGCAGTATCTGGTCTGCCAGTTGCTGTGCAGTGTGCAGCACTGCAGTGTGGTGCTCAGCCACCAGGTACTGCACCAGCTTCTGCAGCTGACACCTGTCCATCTGCAGCAGTGTCTCTGCGGGCGGTTAATGTATACTGTCATATACTGTGATATTTACTGTAGTATAGCTTATAGTAGTAACTGTAATATGCTGTAATATATACTGTAATATAGCTTATATACTGTATACACCTGTCCATCTGTAGCAGGGTCTCTGCGGGCAGTTAATGTACTGATATACTGTAGTATATACTGCGATATAAACTGTAATATATACTGTAGTATATATACCTACTGTAATATATAAGCAGTAATTACAGCCTACATAGACTATAGCAGTGCAGTATATATGCAGTATATTTTTAAAACTATATGGCACATCTATGTGGACATAATGCACACATATACATTTATATGATATATACAATATTATAACTTTATTATAGTTATGTTATAGTCATAGCTTAAAAAATATCAGTTGGTATACGTAGCTGCACGTGGGCACGTACCTGAGATGGTATACGTAGCTGCACGTGGGCACGTACCTGAGATGGGTATACGTAGCTGCACGTGGGCACGTACCTGAGATGGGTATACGTAGCTGCACGTGGGTGCTGTAGCGGATGCGGTGTAGCGCGAGGGCGACCACGTGGCAGCACCAGAAGATGTCACGTGTACCACACGTGCACGTGACAGACGTGATCCTGCACCTGTTACACGCGTGGATGTTAAGTTATATATATTACTGTTATACTGTTAAGGCTAGAAAAGCATATACGGATTTACCGTCAGATTGTGGGACCTGTATTATTGGAATTATTCAACTAGATAAGGTAATTATGGTTGTTAAAAGTGAGGAAAAATTATTTTATTTCAAGTTTTAAAATGTACCAACTTAGCCTTAAGGCGCGTTTACACTAGGGGTAACGACATGGGCGGCGAGGCGCTTGCTGCAGCGCCTGACGCCCACTGCAAGTGTTCACACCCTAACAAAATTTAGTCGCCCCAGCTTCTGATTTGGGTACCAGAAGCTGGGGCGACTCTAAACCAGAAGCTGGGGCGACTCTAAACCAGAAGCTGGGGCGACTCTAAACCAGAAGCTGGGGCGACTCTAAACCAGAAGCTGGGGCGACTCTAAATTTTGTTAGGGTTCTATAAGGTGACTATAAAGTCGGAAAGCTGTCTCTTATACACATCTAGATGTGTATAAGAGACAGGTCCTCTACCTCATTATTGCTGTCATTTACCTCATTATCATTGT